CAGCCTCGCACTTCTCATTTTCAAGCTCTCAAACGGGTTCTTCGCTATCTTCGTGGTACCGTTGATTGCTGTTTAGTTCTGCATCCTACAGATTTGGGTACTTTTACTGCATTTAGTGATGCTGACTGGGCTAGTTGTCCGGATGATCGTCGTTCTACTACTGGTTTTCTCATTTATTTGGGATCTAATCTCATTGCCTGGACATCTAGGAAGCAGCTCACTGTGACTCGCTCGTCTACTGAGGCTGAGTTTCGTGCGGTTGCTAATGTCTGTGTTGAACTGCATTGGGTGTGTCATCTGTTGTCCGAGTTAGGCGTTTCTTTACATCGCCCTCCCTCTATTTGGTGTGACAACAGTAGTGCAGTTTTCCTTGCTGTCAATCCTGTGTTCCATGCTCGTACAAGACATGTTGAGGTTGATTTTCACTTTGTTCGAGATCATGTTCGGCGTAAGTTTGTTTCGGTCAATTCTATCTCTGCTGCTGATCAGCTTGCTGATATTCTGACAAAACCCTTGTCCAAAGAGTTATTCTTTCGATTCCGGGACAAATTTCGGCTTCTCTCTTCTCCGCCGTAAGTCTGCGGGGGCGTATTGTAATATTTAGTATATTTTCTATTATGTTCGAGTTTAGGATTTGTTATTGTCTATATATAGTCTGTATATTGTGCACCACATATCATGAATTCAATACAATTTCCCTATTCTAAGTATCTCAAATGGTTTCAAACTTTCGGCACAATTGTTAGTTGTATTATTATCCCTGCCCCTAAAAAGAATCCAAATTGTGAGCTGTAGATTGTTTTGTTATTTAGTACTCCTTCTGTTTTGCAAATGATTGTCCAAATTGAATTTTTATAGTGTTTTTTCTATTTCGAAATGATTGTCCTGTTTAGATTTGTTAGTTTTACTAAAAATTATACTAAAATTGAAAATTCAAACTGAATAATCATTTCGAGATCGCGGAAGTACAATTCATAGTTTACGGTATGCATTATTTTTGTGGATTGAGAAAGTATTACTTTTATCTCCTCTGACTCTCTATACAAAAAAAAAAAAAAATCCCGCATTGTAAATTGTGAATTGTATTATTTTAGACAATTTATAACATAGAACGTTAATTTTTCCGGGGCAAAACGAATACATTCCATCAAGGTCGTCCACGGGACAAATTCAGGGCATATACAGGACAAGCTAGAACAAATGGGGAACAGGAAGGGGAGCTAGGAAGGGGTTCGCATTCCATTGTGTTCATACAAAACTTTCCAACCTTGTGTTGTTTCCCCTTTAACAGAATCAAATATCGTGTTTTCAGGTATAAGTTTAACAAGCACATTTCTATCGACAATATACTGACTCGTATATATGGTAGATATTACATGTTGTACAATTGAGAAGGAAAAAGAAATTATCATTCATTCTCATAAACGAAAAATATCTTTGTCGTACTACTATTTTCATTCAAAAAGGTACACAATGTATTTAGAATATAAGAACTTATGTTCCACAAGAATAATAGTTTTGTTGGATAAACTACTTATTTAGTTCAACCAGAAACCCTTGTACTTATAAGGGGGTCAGAACCAGGCAATTGCAAAATTAAAAAAAAAAAGGACTGGCTACCTAGCTAGCTAGCTGGTTCAAATTTTATTAGATAAGAAAGCGGAACATATTAACTTGAAATAAGGGGGGAAACAAAAAAACTTATGAGCCACTGCACCCAATAAACTGAAAAGCTGAGAACAATTTGCTGACTTCCCCATTGTTGAATACGAAGGAGAAGAGCCAATGTTGTTTGTTAAGTCTGAAGAATTGTGCGTTCTTAAAGAGGATTCTGCGATTCAATTTATAAACTTTATTTTTCACAACTAACCACTATTAACAAAACAAAGTAATTAACATGGAGATCATATATTTTTGAGCTGATGACGATGACGGTTCTCTTTTTGACTAAGGATCACCTCAACAAACGACATATTCTCTTTTTGACTCCTTTGATTTATTGGTATTTAGAGAACAATAATTCAGCAAGGTAACAAGTTTAAGTAAAACTAGGATTTTCTTGTTGGAACATGAAGTATAGTTGATGCCTCGGCTGTCATCCAAAAAATGCATTATTGTCTTGATTTAGACTTATGCCGCTTACTTAAAACTAGAAAAAGCTGTAATTATTGGCACACTTAATTATTTGCAAGGAGGTTAGGATTTTATTTCCTCTTAAGTAATTATAGTTCTTTCCGATCAAAGATTTTATTTTTGTTGATTTGTATCGGTAATACAGATGTTTTAGGAGGGACGAAATCAATTTATCTGTGCTGGGAAAACATGATACATTACTGTTAACAACGTATTTGTAATTATCACTCACGTAATTATTTATCTGTCATTTATTTGTCTACTGGTTTCGTTGTTCTTGTAATTAGAGTTGGAGGTAAATTCTTCCTAGTCCCTAGACGAGACCAAGCCTAGCTAGCTAGTGAAAGAGATTCTGTGGAAGTATTCGACGTGATTCATACTAATTTTATGTTTAGATGCCTGTAGATAAAGCGAAAGGAGAGAAACTAGTTAGCCTAATTCTATGCTATCGCAAAGAATCAAACTCATATATTAGGAGTCCGTTTGACAGCGGCGGTATAATGTCTCATTTGCCTGAGTAATTGTTGTAAAGAAATTTAGCAAACAAGTAGAATCTTATACTCTCTTTATCTCAAAATTATTATTTAATTTGTATTCTCACTTTTTGTTGAATTTATTCTAAAAATGAAATTCTAAATTAAACAATCAGGCTGAGGGAGTACGAAATAATTGTTCGAAGTTAGCATAATGGAGATAGATATATCATCGTTTTCAGTATGTAACTTATAAATCACACTCATGATCAACGATTTCTTAATATCTATATATATATATATTTTCTGACAATTTTTATAATGACATAACAAACAGGAAAAAAAGAAAATAGAAAAGAAAAGGAAAGGTGATAATATTGATAGGTTGCCTAACAATTTGTTGTGCGCCAGTCAATTTCTCATCTCAACCAAACCAATCATGGCTTCACCTACTGGTCACTGCGAGACTCTTTCTTTTTCTGCAAAGGAAAATTAAACAAAAAATAATTTGCTAACAGACGTAGAGATTTAGACCCCTTAACACAAATATTCTTTCTTTTTGGAGGCAAATGAAACTCCAAACGTTGTAACTAAAATGTAGGTTCACCCAGCCGTTACTAATGTCAATCAATTTGCAATTCATTTCAGTAGAAGAAGAAATTAGAGTAAATTTCTTGGTTATATGATTGTACTGATATTAATCTTATACTATTGCACGGCCCCAGCTTGTAAAAACGGAGTAAAATTCGCAGTTTGATATCCGGTTTTGAATTAAACTTCTCCAAGTCATTCTTGGCTTGATGGTCATGATTGTCTTGTCAATATATATAAGCAGCAATGCCCACCAAAAAAAAAACTTTTATACTAGTTGAAATAAGAAGTAAATATATCTCTTCAAAAGTTAGAATCTACTTTACCCAATTGATCAATGATTTGACCTCTATTTAATAGCGAGAATCTTCTTTTTTGAGATTCCCTGTCTCTGTTTTAACTTTTAAGTTATATATTTAGTGGTGAACAGAGATTTGAGGGCTCATATCTTCCATTTTGCAGTGAAATAAATGGACCGAATCGGAAGTTGTAGTTTTCTAGCTTTTCTTTTTAGCTTCTTTTCTTCCGCGCATCAGATTCCTCTCCAACTTCTTCCCATACTTGTAGCTACAGTATTAGTATCATATAAATAATTAATACCGCTTTTATACCAGAAAAATAATCCATTTTATCTAAATATATACAGTACAGTACAGCAAAATAGACTATTTATATTTTGGAAGAGAATATACATCCTACTTAAAAAAGGAAGGGGATGATAATTAGATTTGTTTAGGGAATTTGTTTTCCCTAATCTCGGAGAGTGTATATTTGTTTAGATCTTAATAATCTAAGTACGACATATGAACGATTGTTCGTTTTTCACTTTCGTTTTAGATTTAAGAAGAGATCTAAAACATGTTCGGGATAAAAATCCAGTTGTTCTTTGAATAAATTGATAAATTCTCAAATAAAATAATACAATTTACTTACACCACACTCTCTGCTGTCGGATACTGGCCAGATTCCGGCCTTTGGCTAGGGTTTGTGGTTGTCTGGTAGCTATAATGGGAAGTCAGATATATAGTGATTGAATTGAGTAAAATATTTTTTGACATAAGATTTAAAATGGTGCTTCAAGACTTTTGTGTGGATAATAGTACACTTTTTGTCGTAGATTTTAAGTTGAAGAATCTAATGTTTCTTTTTCTTTAGACTTTCGTTTTGTAATTTTTTTAATATTCATACTAGTTAATTTGTACTCCCTCCATTTCAATTTGTAAGTCGTTTTAGGTTTGGAGAGATTTTTCAAAATGTAGGTCATTTTACAAATTATAGGCAAATTAATGACTATTTTCCAACTTTACTCTCAATAAATGATGTTAATATATTTTCATGTAGTCTTGTTTATAGTTCCAATGTAATTGATAAGGGGTAAAATAGATATTTAATACATAAATTAATTGTTCAATGATTGTCTCCTTAGTTTACATGCAGAGTCTAAAGTGATTTACATTTCAAAAAATGGAAGGAGTATATAAAATAAACCAATGATAACGGTTACGACTTAATTGTTTCATATATACATAAGCTAAACCCTAAACCCTAAATAAATAAATGAAAGAACTCCATTATTTCGTTAACCGTTATTGAAAGAATTTTTGTGTTCCGAGATAAACCAGCCTAAATTCGAATGTGATCAATTAGTATATTTGAGTGCGCCTGCTTCTGTAATTCATTTACCAAGAAACAAGAAAAGATACAAAAACAATATATATATATATGTAATGGAAATTATAACTTCCTCATTCACTAGGTCAACAAAAGTAGTGTATGTGTAGCAAGGCCATGTATAAACATTTATTTTAATCTTTAGGCCAGTACCAAATGATTGTTTTGTTTATTGTGCTAAATATATAGTACTTATGTAGTAAAAATTAATCTATATTGAGTTTTTCGTATTTGTACTATTTTTAGTATAAATTTTAAAACTCTATAAGGACTATTTGTTTAAGACAAAAATAATAAAAAATCGAATAATCATTTCTACGAGGATACGTGCCTTTCCACTACTATAAAACGCCTCAGTCCGTTACCCATTTTGGCCACCCTTCCCAATTCATTCATCTTGTTTCCTTGTTCAAGTAGCTCTACATACCACCGCGAAAATGTCGGTCCAGATGAAGAAGATGGTCTCCTCGACTGAAATCAAACTGGATGGTAATGTTTTTCACGAAATCTTCCGATACAGGCCACACCACATATCTTACATGAGCCCCAAACACGTTCAAAGCGTGGACTTGTGTGATGGTGAGTGGGGGAATGTTGGATCTGTCATCTGCTGGAATTTCACTACTCATGGTATGCATAATTTTATTTTGAAGTATTCTTTTCCAGCATTTCGATATGCAAAAAAAAAAAAAAAAAGGAATTCTGTAACGTGATATTGTTTCATTATTGTCTTATGGACACATAACCAATTATTTACCATTTTATGAGTATATTAATGTCGCATCACAATGGTAACACGAAAAGTGGTATAAAAAGAATGGATCTAAAATGCAGTTTGATTACATGACCTGATTGATTCAGAATTTATACTTGTATGGACCTTCATTATCATATATAGATGGAAAGAAGAAGGCTTCGAAGAACATTATTGAGGCCATTGATGAGGCTAAGAAATCAATCACATTCAGGGTGACTGAAGGAGATATTAAGGCGGTGTACAAGAGCTTTGCCTTTACTGTTCAAGTTGATAAAGTTGGGGACAATAACTTGGTCACATGGACACTTGAGTATGAAAAACAAGATGAGAACACGCCAGAACCTGACGGGCTGATGAAACTTTGCTTTATTCTCACTAAGGACATTGAGGCTTACAACCTCAAGAACTAAAATCTATCAATCTAATCAAAAGGGTGTCCTTCATCATGATCAATCATGCCCTTTGGAGTTTGGAAGACTTTTATTTCTACCTATTGTGGGTTTCTATCTATATATAGTTTGAATAAAATTTCTAATGGGTTGTATCACCGCGTGGGCAAAATCGAAACTATGGTGTACTCTGCTTGTTCAAAGTTTAATCATAAAATTATTAATTAGTATTCGTGATGTTTACGCAATATAGTAGCTCCAATTCAAATTAATTAGAAAAGTAATTTTGGAGTTTGATTTGTAATTACGGAACTATTAAAATTCATGCATAGGTACGTCTTGGGCGCATGCATATGGAAAACGGATCATTTTACTCATAAATTATATTATACGTCGCAATGAAAATGATTTTCCGAACTGTAAAAAAGTTAGCATCTGTAATAATTATATATTAGTCCGTTTTTCTTTCGCTTGACCCATTTAACGGCCAGTTCTGAGGAAAGTTCAGATGTTTGAGCTATATATAGTATATATATGCCTGGTAGTTCTAGATAGCTGCACTTTTTTTTTTCTTAGTTATAAACATGTTTTCCAAAAAGAATTCTTTTATCAACGATAATTTTGATAGAAAGAAACAAAATGGATTTAAATTCAAAGAAAGAATAAGCGTTTGGGTGTAGTCAATTAGATTGGAAGCAGGCCGGTGCTTTGTGAATCAAATATAAACTGATACTCATATATCTATCCAAAAATAGTACAAATTTCAAAACTCAATATGGATTATTTTTCTAATACAAATTTTAAAACTGAATGCGGACATTTTTTTTTTTTTCTTTTTGGGAACACATAACTTCTAATACGAACGACGGAAAGAGGAAGGGAAAAGAAAAAAAAATTTCGATCCGCAACCTATCATGCATCGATTAAGTGCTAAATTGTCGTCTCTAATAGACAATGACAAGCTCCCTGTTTGCCGTTTGTCACATGATTATGGACCCCCAAATACATAATAATTCGATTCTTTTGATATATGCAAGATTTTTTTATTTTTATTTTTTAGTTTTTTATTTTTGTGTTTTGCATTCTCCAAGCACTCAGACATCTATGGATACATTTCTGTGAAACGAAAATCAAACTCATTAAAGAAATATAAGATTCAAAGACAGAGCCACTCTCCAAGCACACTCACACAAGGGGTTTTCAAGCATTTCATCTAATACCGTTCATATTACGGAAAACCTAAAAGACAGAGTCAAAATAAAAATTCAAAGACACAATTCATTTCTTGAGTATGCAATTCATGCATGCATATCGATCTCTGATACACGATTGAAGATTAGAATAAGACCAAAATCAGCTAGCTGTCAAGACAAGTTTTATTGGAAGAACAAATAGGGTAAACATTAAACAAGCCAAGTTGACTGAGTGGATCCAAACCATGTTGCTGCAGTATACTCAAGGAATACCGTTTCCTCATTCAATAGGAATTGGTGGATTTGCGGTTTCGGTGCAGTATCCTTGTTGACACTTCATTGTCACATCTGATCTGAAACAGCAATCTCCATCTATCTGGCATTCTCCATTGGTTCCAACGCAACATTTGTTAAAGTTACACGACGCGTAAGCGTAACCGCGAGTATTGTTCGCCCTAACATTGCAGCATCGTGTGGTTGGTTGGCATTCCATACTAGGCATCACACAATTCGGCGATGGAAGAATAACTGAAGGTGGTGGAGCCGGAAACGACGGTGGTGGTGGTGGAGGTGGAGTTTGTCCTGATGGTAGAGGAGATGGAGGGGAGGATGGGTGTGGAGGTGGCGGAGAAGGTAGCGGTTGAGCTGGCAGAGGTGGAAACGACGATGGCGGAGGAGGAGGCAATGAAGATGGTGCCAGCGAAGGTGGAGACGCTGATGGTGGTTGTGGTGGTGGTAGAGGAGGGAGCGACGATGGCCGAGGAGGCGGAGAAGGTAACGCAGTAGGCGGCTTCTTCTTATGAGAAGTTTTTTTGCCTTTTTCGAGCTGTTTCGATGTTATTGAGATGAAGTTTTTACCATCATCTGAAACTGGGGCCGCCGCCGACGCCATCGTTTTTGTTGTTGTGGTTGTCACCAGCAGTAGAGCTGCATGTACAATGGTTTCAGTCATTTTAACAAGAACATTTTTTAAAGTCAACATTTAAACTCGAATTTTTTGTAAAGATTTTGAAAAAGGAATTTAACATGTTGAAAGCTTGAGGAGTGAGATGTTGTTAATAAGCCACGGTTTCTCAAAGAAAAGTCCTATTTATTATATACACTGTTTTTTGTAAAGTAAATGAGAATTTTAAGTTTAGAACGGGGAATAATCGATGAGCTTTTGTTCTTCACAAAATCAAACGAAGGACTTGCTGGCTATAGAGATGAAACAAAATTAACTAGCTAGAATAATAAGAAAAAGGGGAGACTTACAACATATTACTGCCAGTAAACAGACCAACAGAGAACAAGCTGACTTCCCCATTTTCGATATGAAGAAGAACCGGTGATAGTTGCTTGTAAAGATTGAAGAATTGGTGCATTTTTTGTTGCATTTTGTGGCTCAATTTATAGGGGTCTAAACTCTAAAAATGGTTGTTGCAATTTTTTTAAATTTGTATATTCAACCACAACTTAGGCACTTCACAATTAAAGATGTGTATTAATTTTTTTAATGTTTATTATTTTTATGACTATGATGGCCATATATTAATTTTGATGTTAATAAGCATGGAGGTCATATATTAAGCTGATGATGATGACCGATCAGTTACCTAATGATCACCTCAACAACAATATATTCCTTCTTGACTACTTTGATTTCGTTTGGGTTAATATCAAAACACCCCCATGGTTTTCATAATTTTCTAAAACACCTTTATTACTTAAAGAAATATAAAAAAACCTCCTCAACTGGTAAGTAAACTATCAAAAGAGTTCTTCAGCAATTGAAAATTAATGTATCTATATGAATTCAGTAAAAAAGTACCGAAAACATGTTTGAACCCCCCAAAATACTTCAATGGCTTTTTTAAAACTCTAATAAAATTTGTTAGAATGATGAATTAATTCTGTCCCAAGACTTCGATGATTTGGGGTGAAGTGACTGATTTTGGGACTTGCGAAAAGCAAATTCTAGATTTAAAAGTGGACATTTGATTTTGATAGTTTTTCTTTAAAAAAAAATCATGGAGTATTTTTTGTGGTGGTAGAAATGTCTTCTTATCACTCTTTTGGCTGACATTATATGCATACATCAAGTTTCAGCTACGAAAGTACCCTTTTAATAATTTACTTGTGAGTTAAGGGATGTCTTTTAATTTTTTTTAACAATGAAGGTGTTTTATATAATCAAGTAAACCTTGAGGGCATTTTCATTTTGTTTTATTTGTACCAAAAACTTCAGCAGGCAACAAACTTAAAGCTGTCAATTTCCGGCATTTCTAATATTCTTGCAAGGAGGTTAATTTTGTTGTGTCCACGTCGGTAATAATGATCTAATAATTTCGCTAAGTTGTTGGTGATGCTCTATTTCGGCAGTTCTTGTCACTAATCACAATCGGGCCTTTGATTTATCTTGATTTAATATTTGAGATACAATTTTTTGGAGGGACTAAATTAATATATATGTTGGAATGATGTTTATTTTGATTATTCATTACCACAAATAATGATACTTAAAGTTAATCTAGTGATAATACCAGCACAAAAAATAACTTCTAGAGTAAAAAAATAAATGTGTTACCAACATTACCCTTACGAAATCAAAACCCTAATTCATCTGCACCCTAGCATTTCTTTATGCCTTCATTTTTTTAGCGTCAACAAATCAACAAAACACCTTGGTTATATGAAGATCCGAATGTTCTTTACTTCACGACAATATGAAGATTTTGTCACAAATTCATATCTTCATTGTGAATTACAAAAAAGAAATTTTTTTTACTTTAATCTCAAATGTAGATCAGAAGATTAATATTGTTTTTCTCCATCATTATTCTTCTGGATAGCCAGAAAATTGATTTTCATTTCAAATTTGGACAAATTACTGATGAGCTCCGTGCAAATAATTTGAGAATGTGTCAATATGAATGTTCTACAATATTTACAACACTCTATCTAATACGAAATTCTGCAACAATTACATAATATTTCTTATGAACGAAAGGAATCACATTCTAAAGAAAATGGTTTCCACAGCCAGTACCGATGATAAAAATGGGTGGAGTGGATCTTTGATGAGAGGCAAACAGCCAGAAAGGGGGAATAAGTGAGAGAGATGATGATGAGGTAAATTAAGTAAGAGAGACTTTGATTGTTTAAGGGCAATGTTGGCGACATACATATTTTTTGCTCTGGAAGCTAATTTTTGTGCTAGCATTATCGTTAGCCTAAAGTTAAGATGCATACATAATCATCACTCACGTATGTTATTATTCATTTGGCATTTATTCATATCTTCCATTTTGCAGTAGAAATAAATGAAATTAGTGGAGTCCATAAATTATACTTTCATTGTTATTATTTTATGAGTTTATGGACTTGGATAATTTTAATTCATTGAGTTTTATTCACGTTTTGTGTTAGGTACTGAAGATCGAAGTTTACAACTTTCCTATACGAATTGCTGCAAAAAGATATCACTTGCAACATTATCAAGTTGAGCAATAGGAAGGAAGTTTACTACATTGGAGGACTTAATTGCGAGCATTAAAATTGCTTGGGGGCCAAAGCTTGAAGTCAAGAAACTATGGGACTGAAACTCAAGATGGAAGAGAGTTTTGGGCCAATTTGAAGAAGATGAAATATTGAAGGACCAATTTTGCAATTTGTGACCAGCTTTTGTTTTTTAATAAGGCTTAATTCTCTTTAAAAGGCAGCGTGAATTCAATTTTGGCCACCGTTTTTTTACCCAAAAAAAAAAAAAAAACACACGAACATAGCGTCTGCTTTTCTTTTGGTTTTGGAGGTCACCCGGCGTTTCGGTTTTCTCCGAATTTTTAATTCTTCTAAATTTGGTACTAATGTTCTTATGAATAATTTAGCTATCTTGCCCATGAATATGAGTGACTAAATCTTTTGTTTCTGATTCAGGGGATTTGATCCAATTATTTTATATGTGAGGTTTAGTTTTAATTTAATCTTGTTTATGGTTTGAGTTATTTGTTTATCTTTGTTTGAATTCATAAGAGTGAGTATAAACTGAATTGATAACTTGGTTTGTATTTACTTTTTAATGCTATTCTTATGGTTGTATGTTACGTAATTGACACGAACCTTTGGAGTTAGTAGCAACTAGGCATTACTTGAGAATTTGTGAGACTGCGGGTGCTCTTACATGCATAGTAGTAGGATGAACGAATCATAATTTAAGTTGTTGCAGCTATCTCAATAATTTTGGATTGTGTTTCAAGTATATTCCTTTGGTTTTATTGCCATCATTGATTTGTATGGAACGCTATCGTGCCCAACGTTTAATGAGAAATGATAATTGAATGCTAGGTTTGGTTAGTTAATTTAGGAAAATTTTAGGTTTACTACGGCTATCTTGGAATGCTTAAACTTGAATACTCTATCTGCAAGAATAATTTTAGTTACCGATGATCTGTGAAAAAATTGGAAGATCCGTCCCTTGAGTCAAAAGTTTGTTACTTTGATTTTCTTCATTTATTTATTTTCTGTTCTTTAAATTTCCATTATCCTAGATTTAGAACAACAATTCAAAAATCCATATTTGCATTAGTTTGAAAGAAACAATCCATCGTTCCCTGAGGAGACGACCTTACTTGTCTATACTACGTAACTTGAAGTAAGTTTATAATTATTTGTGAGACTTGACACCCCATCAAATGGCACCGTTGTTGGGGAACGGTGTTAATTGATTTGTTTCCATTAAAGTTTTGTTTTATTTTATTTTATGTTACTTTTATTTTTGCAATGGACTTATATGCATATCAACCTTGAAATCGACAAGGTAACCACGGGAATACAAATGGGGTAAGTTCTCCGTCTCTTGAGCAACAATTACTGGAACTAACTTCTCTTGTGAAAGTTTTGGCTATAGGTCAACAGAAACAAGTCAAAAGGTATAGTTTTTATTCAATGACTGGCCATATTAGAGACTTTTGTCCAAGATTAGCAAATTACTAGTGGAAACCTCAAAATGGCATGAGAGAATCTTGGGGACAACCACCCGAGAGATACGAAGCTAGTTCATACTCATATGGCCCAGGTTGGCAAGCCTAAGTTGCAACTATGAGTATCAACCATCTCAGCCACTACAAGTGTATCATGTTCCGGAACTTCCACAGTCTCAAAGCTCAGGTATGTCTTTAGATGTAATTACTCATGCCTTGGCAACTAATATTCTACAATTTCAGCAGGATAATGAAACTTTCCAAGAAGAAACAAGAGCTTCCATTCAAGATTTGGGAAGCCAAATTTGCCAGCTAGCTAGTGCTATTAGCAAGTTCGAGGTCTCAAAGCCTGTAGAATTTCCATCTCCGTTAGTAAATAATTCTGTTGAAAGTGTGTGTGCCATGAATGAAGTAACTCCCGATAATGATGTATCTGAGAAGAAGGTAGAGAAAGAAATTGCTAGAGAAGAGCCACATTATGTAGTACCTCCCTTTCCTAACAGATTCTCAAGGGCCGAATTAGAAAATATGAAATACATTTTCATAAAAGATGTTTATGGTATAGAGACTGCACCTACTCAAGATGCAAATGATTCAAAACATAGAGGAGTAGAGAAAAGCAAAGCAGAGGCATTAGACAATGAGGTAATTCATAATTGATATTTCATTTTTATTTAGTCCAACTAATGCACTTGTTAGTTCTTCTTCAGATATGCTAATGGACTCAAAGATAGAGGAGCCGAAACAAAAAGTGATAAGAGAATTTTTCCAAGAATAAGGTAAATTTCCATTTGGTGAAAGACTTTGATGAGGAACTTTGTGATGGTGAGTTTCTCAAGGAGTTGAGTTCTGAAACTAATGGATGTAAACTCGAAAGTGATGAGGTAATTTTAGTAGGGAAGCATGTTTCCGACATGCCACAATCAAAGTTTCTTAACTGTGGAAATCCAGGTATGTTCCCTACATCAAGCTCTTTTAATTATCTATTTGAGGATAGGAAGCCTCCAAAAGTTTTGTTAATACTATTACCTACATCTCTTGAATGTGCGTATGGACATCTATCTCGACATCCTGAAATAGGGCTAACGGTAGATGCAATTTTAGTAATTTTAAATGCAAATGGAATGTTTAAGGAATCCTTTAGAGAGAATTACTTTCCGCCTCATTTTGTTGATTCAAGAAAAGAATTTGGTCCATCTAACTTTGATTTTTTTGGATGTTGCTCAGGATTTTATATACCGTTGTTAGGTGAAGTTTCAAAATTTCTACCTTGAGACACACAAGATTTTTCTAGCCAAAGACAATAAAGAAAGGTGTTGTTTAGGAGACAACCTAAGTGTTGAATTTATGTTGTGTTTGATTAATTAATTTTTATTTTATTTTATTGGAGTTGAGTTTTTAATGTGTTTAGTGTTTTTTTTTTAATGGAAAAGGTGTTTTGTTAAGAGTGATCATGGGTAAAAAAATTACTAGTTCGCTAGATTTTATGGAAGTACTCCCTCCGTCCATAATTATTGTCCACTTTGCCCAAAAAATTTTGTCCCAAAATTATTGTCCAATTTGACTTTTTATAGATCAAATTACACATTTGTCCTTAGTAAAAAACATTATCCATAAAATCTTAGTGGTTAAACAATTATTTATGTAGGGGTATATCCGGTTGTTTAAGGTAAAATATAGTTAAGTTTGACTAAAAATAAAATCTTTCATTTTAGTAAAAGTGGACAATAATTATGGGACGGAGGGAGTATTATTTTTCTTAGGGGTCATCGCCGTCTAAGAGAATAAATGGTTTGATTTCTTTAATGTTTTTTTTGGTCCAGGGCAGATTCAAAGGCTTCATTAGACATGATCACGTCTAACATGACATTCCCTATTTCCTTATTTTTATTTTATTTTAAAAAAATCCAAAAGTATTTTACGTTTTTGTTTTCTTTCTTTTCGTTTTCCAGGAACACTATAATCGGCGGCCTACCAAATCATCACCGGCGGTTCCAAAATTTCCCCTTCTGGCGGTCAGAGTTCCGCTTCCATTTTTTTTATTGGACCTCCACTCTGCGTTCGCCACCACCATCGCCATCTTTGTTCAAGCGGCGCTGCTCCGTCGTCATCACCATCATCAATCGCGTTCTTCATAAAATCAGGCGACCCAATTGCTTCCTGCTATCCGCCGCTCAAATCAATTGCCGCCGGCTGCTTGCCACCGTTCGTACCTCTGCTGCTGCAGTTCCGGAGCTCATCGTCGACCGGATTCCGGTCGCTGCTTTTCGCCGAGCCATTTGATTTCAGCTATTGCTGCTTTTCTGCTGCAATTCCAATTGCTTGCCATTCACTTGCCGCTGTTTATCACTGTTCTGCAAAATTTCGCCGATCATCCTTCTGCCAGCCGGAGTTCACCACTGCCGCTGCTTGTCCCGATTGATTCCGGCGGGTTTTTCATCAATTTCAGTGTTCAATTGTCGCCGGTTGCTGCTGTTGTTCCGTTCGCCAACTTCATCACCCTGGAACGTTGCTTCAATCAATTCCGTCTGTCCGCCACTCCCCTTGTTTGCTGCTCAGCCGCCAACACTATCATCAATTCAGTTTACTGCCGTTCGTGCACGTCCCTGACTACCACCTTGCTGCGGTCGATCAATTTCATCAGTCCACTGTCGCACTCGCTGTCATCGCCATCGTCCTTCTGACGGCTTGAATTCTTCCGCTTTGCTGTTTAGCCGTTGTTCGTCACACATCGGAGCAGAATCACCAAAAATTTGTGATGTTTTCTTGACCCTCATTTTGTTCTCATTCAGTCTATTGTTGCTTTTGTGGGTTTTGAATTGATTTTGAAGTTAATTTGGGTGATTTTTTATCTTTTGCCTCGGTTTTAATTTTTGGTGGTTGTCCTAAATTTTGCTAATTGATGATACTTGCTATTTGGTTAGTGTATTGTTAATTGGTGGTTGGTGCTTTTGTTGCAGATACTCTTCAACGGTTGCTGTTTAAGATTGAGAAGTTCATACCCCCACATCCACTTTCTCCATGATTTTCAGGAAAGTGTTGTTCTTCATTTTTATATCTTTTACTACATTGCGGACAATGTATGCTTTAAGTGTAGTGGGATTTAGTGTTTATTTTCTGTTTTATATTTATTTGTTTCATTGTTTTAATTTCATAAAAGAAAAAGACAAAAAAAAAAGAAGAATTGAAAAAGTAAAAGAAAATTCAGAATAATGGAAAATATTAAAAATAGCCAATGATGAACTTAACCTGAGACTTTATGAATTCTAATTATATTGGGACAGAAATTTTTTTTGACTCTGTGAATTATGTGTTATACCTTGAATACTTTACTTGCGCACTTTAGCTATATGATAAAGTCTATAAATTATGTTTTAATTGTTATTATTTTATGAGTTTATGGATTTGGATGGTTTTAATTCATTAAGTTTTATTAATGTTTTGTGTTAGGAATTGGAAATCGGAGTTTACAACTTTTTGGAGCTAATTGATACAAAAAGAGACTGCAAACATCATCCAACTTGAGTAAAAGAACAAGTTTACTCCAATGGACTTAATTGCAAAACATGGAAGTTGCTGGAGGCAAAAACTGATAAGAAAAAACTTAGCAGACTAAATTTTATTATTGAAGAACTTGTAGGTCAATTATGGAAGGATAAAAAATAAAAGGACCAATTTTGCAATTTTTGGCCTAACTTTTGTTTTCATGCGGCTGACCCAATTTCTATATAAGGCAGCGTGACTTTGTTTTTGGCCATCGTTTTTTTTGTTCGAAGACCATATATAGTGCGCAGACTTTCTTTTGGCTTCGGAGGTCAGTGGCTGTCTCCGTTTCTCCGAGTTTTCAATTCTTCTAGACTTGGTACTATTTTTCTATGAATAAATTAGCTATCATGTCCATGATTATGAGTAGCTAAACCTTTTGTTTCTGATTCAAGGGATTTAATTCAATTATTTTACATGTGAGGTTTTGATTTTAATTTAATCTTGTCTATGGTTTGAGTTATTTGTTTATTCTTGTTTTAAATTTATAAAAGTGAATACCAATTAAATTGAACACTTGGTTGTGTATTTTCTTTTTACTGCTATCCTTTGGTTGTATGTTACGCATTTGACACGAACCATTGGAATTTAGTAGGAACTAGGTGGATCATTAGTATTTGTGAGACTTGGATGCTTTTGTATGCCTAGGTGTAGGATCGACAAATCATAATTTAATTTATTGCAGCTATCTCAATAATTTTGAATTGTGTTTCAAGCATATTTCCTTGGTTTTTATTGCTATCATTGATTTATATGGAACGCTATCGTGCCCGGCGTTTAATGATAAGCACTAACTGAATTAAAGCTAGGTTTGGTGAGTTAATTTAGGAAAATTTTATGTTTACTACGGCTATCCTAGTATGCTTAAACTTGAGTGCTCGAACTGCAAGAATGATTTTAGCTACCAATGACATGTAAAATAATTGGATGATCCGTTCCTTGAGTCAGAACCTTTGTGATATTGAATTTTCTCCTTGTTTACTTATCTTTGCTTTTAAAACTCGTAATTTTTATTTTGTGTTAGTAGTTAGTTAATCAACAAACAAAATCTTTTTGGACATTGTCAAATAAATTAAGAACTAAGAACCTAGCTCCTTTAGGATTCGACCTGGTACTGCTACTACTGCAAATTTTGTAGTTCGGTAGGATTATCGGATTAATTTTAGGTTTCTCGATAAGTTTGCCAAAATTTTGGCGCCGTTGCCGAGGAATGAATTCCAATGAACCTTGTGGATTCGCTCTGGTCATAAGCCACAAAAAGCAACGTAAGAGTGAACAAAGTATTAAGCACTGAACCTTAGGATAGCAACAAGCTGACAGATAAAAGGTTTATTGTAAGAGAAAAAGATTTTTTATTTTTTATTTTTCAAAAAAAAAATAAATCTTTTACTTATTATTTCGATCATGGGTAGATTCGAACCTCTCCTTACACCTGATCATGCTTAAGAATTGCTTTCCTATTCCTTAGTGTTGTTTTTAAAAAAAAAAAAAATGAAAACCAAATAAAAATACAAACTTACGTTTTTATTCTCTTTATTTTTTCTTGTTCAAGGACCCTAATCCCCGATTTGAATCCGGCGACCACCACCAGTCAACCGCTGCTCCGCCGTCAGTTAGCTTCACTTCCGGGGACATGTTTTCAGAGTTTACCGGCGGCCTTAGTCTCAGCCACTATTGCTGTTCACCGCTGATTCAATCAATCGCCGTTGCTGTCGATTGCTTGTTGTGTTCGACCGCCACCGTCAATCCAATCTTTCGATTGCGTCTACTGTTGCTGGTCCGTGTCGGTTCATCTAATTTCCGATGGTCGCCGTCCTAACTGTTGCTGCTGCGGATTTTCTTTCCTGCTGCTGCTCAATTCCGGCCAGGGCTTACCTCAATTTCGGCGCCCAATTGCTACCTTTGCCGCCGTTCTCTGCTGCTGCTGCCACCGCCGGTTACTGCTACTGGTTCGCCTGATTCGGCGTCCAATTGTCATCCGCCTGCTTCGCCTCTCACTTCCATCATCCATAGCTGATGCTGCCGCCGTTCGTTGTTGCTGTTGACGACCACCATCATCAATCGGCGCCACACTTTTCCTCTGTTGCTGCTGCCATCAGCCGCCTAGCACAATCATCAACTACCTCCCTGTTGAAACTCTACAGCCTTCGTCGGCCGTTGCGGTTTGTCGTGAGCTCTTGCCACTGTTGTTGCCGCTATCAGCACACTCCACTCTCTTGGCACCCGACTCACTGTGATGTTTTCTTGTCCTATTTACCTTAATTTAATTTTTTGCTGAATGTTGTTGCTGCATCTTAGGAGTGATTAATCGAATTGTGTGTGTCCCATTTGTTGATTCAAATTTGTGAGTCTTGTATCGGGATTTCTTTTGGTGGTTATTCTGAATTTTTCAAGGTTGACACTTGCTGTTCGGTTGTGCTTTGTTGACTGGTAGCTAGTTTTTGCTTGTTGATTTCAGCTGTGGCTTGTTGTTTTGTTAATCATGGGGCGTCAAGTCACTTGTTCTCAAACAAAATTCACTTTGCCTCGTCGTTTTTTAGACCAATCTTCTTATTCATTCCCTGGTAGTTCTTTGCCGGATGATAACTCTCATTCTCTTTCTCGCAAAAGATCTCGAATTTAAAAAGGCAAAGCTATTTTACCTCCTTCTGAGTCCAGTTTAAAGGGTAATTTAGATTTTGCTACTAAAGCTAGGCGGGATAGGTATGCTAAGGTTAAACACCTTCAAATTGTTCCTTGTAAATATGTGCATTATCCTACCTTAGAAGAATTGGGTCTGAAAAATGCTTTTGATGCTATGGTTGAAGGTAGTGGGTGGAAGAATTATTTTGATATCCAATACCCCGCTTTTACTGAATTGACTAGGGAGTTTTACTCCACTTTTGTGTTTCAACCCCCAAGTCCTTTGACTTTGGATAGCCCTACGGTGATAAGATATCAACTAATGGGAAAAGAATTTCAACACTCTATCACTGAGTTTAACTTGGCATTTGGTTTTATAACTCCAGAATTTGCTCAAAGTGATATCTATAGGAATTCTCGTGCGGATTTTGATGCTGATTTTTGTCCTTCTAGACTTTGGAAAACTATGTCTGTTGCTAAATCTGGTTACAATTCTAGTAGTTCTCCTAGTACTTTTCTTTGTGAACCTGTGTGGCAATACATGCACCGCTTTTAGCGTTTAATTATTCTGGTCGCAAAGCAAGTTATGTCACCTTTAGATATGTGAGGTACAACCTTTAGATATGCAGACTTTGGTACGGATGGGGCTAGTCAATTTGAAGAATGAGGTTTACACTTTTAATTCCCCTGGTCCTCCTTCTAGAATTCGCTCAAAGTTGCAGCCGTCTTATATTCCTTCTGATTCGGAGTTTCCCACTACTGAGGCTACTGATTCTAGTTCTTCTGTTGCTGAGACTCTTCAACTTGTGCTGTCTAGGGTTGAGAGGTTGGAGGCTAAATGCTTTCTTCGTGTTCATGTAGTTCAAGCCTCCATATCCTACTCCTCCCTGATTTTTCAGGGAAGTTTCTCTCTTCATTTTTATATCTTTTACTACATTGCGGACAATGTATGTTCTAAGTGTGGGGGGGAGGGAGGGGAGGAATTTTAGGTGTTCTTGTCTGTTTGTGTTCAGTTTTTTTTCATTTATTATTTTAGTGTTTGCTTATATTAAAAAAAAACAGAGAAAAAAATTGAAAAATGAAAGAAAAACCAGGGAAAATAAAAAAATACCAAAAATAGCTGATGATGAACTTAACTTGAGATTCTAAGAAATCTAATTACATTGGGACAAAAATTTCTCTTGAATCTGTGCATTAGGTGTTATACCCTGAATACTTTACTTGCGCACTTTAGCCATCACTCTGGGATAAACTTAACATTTTTTGTGTAATTGCTTAAATTCAGGCGATATGCCAAAGTTTGATTTGATTCATTCAGTAATTGTACCATTTGCACGTGGGACCTTACTATATTATGGAACCTAAAAGTAGGCATTAACCCTATCATCACTTCAACTTCGTAAAACGGGGGAGTAGTGGTTTGAAAATAGCTTTTTTACCTTCTTGCTTAAAGTACTTTGTGCTAAGTAAGTGTGAGGGAGGGGTTGTTGGCGGATGTTTTTCTGAGGTTAGGTACACT